GAGGCGCGGCGCGGTCCGACCGGGATGCTTTGTTGCGTCTCCCGCCGGGCTACAGGCCTGGGTTCTCGGCGGGCAGTTGTGAAGTGTGCGTGTTTATTTCTCTCTCGTCCGGACCTTTGTCGGCGAGTTCGGCCCGAAGAAGGGGGGGAGGGTTTCGAGGGGCGACCAGTCCTTTGACAGCCCGAGGGAAAGGCTCCGGGAAGGATGGCGGGGAGGGAAGGGGAAGGCGACTCTTGCGGGAAGGCGCCTGCGGAAAAGGGACAGTTTTAGGGGGAGGGTCGCGGACCGGGACCGAGGTACCCGACCTGGGTCTCGGGGAATCGAGGTGCCGACTGAAGTGAGGGTGGGGGCTTTGGGGGCCGTCACCCCGAGGATCTCGGTTGCTCCCCGTTCGCTCCCGAGGCGCCAGTGCTCTGGCCTGAAGCCGTGTCTGATGGCGGGGGCCCCGAAGGCAGGGCGTGTCCGGGGCGGGGCGCCGGCCGGCCGCCCGCTTACTCCTCCTCTTCTGCCGCCAACGTTGCTCCAGTGCCGGTTCCGTCCGGGGCGCCCCGGAGCCGTGCGGTCTGAGGCGCGTTCCCTGAGGGTGAGCCGCTCCCGTCGGCGCCTCGGTGCGGACACGGTGTTTCCGAGTCGGAGGCGGCTGACCTTTCCTGCGTTTCCCGTTCTGTTCGGGTGATGGGTTTCCCTATGGGCGCGGATACGCACGGGTGTTGATGGAAGAAAAAGATGCTGGGGATTTGCTGCCAGATCCCCCGGGGGGAGAAGTGCGGGTCTGTTTGAAGCCGAGTGACAGCTGCGAAGGGGGCGGTTAAGTATTTCTTTCTACTTTGGTTTCCTTTCGGGAACTTGGCACAATGGTAGTTCGATTGCCCGCCTGCCGGTGTAGCCCAGTCCCCGTGGGCCGGACCCCAGCTGCAGGCTAACCTGCCGGCGGGAGCTCTGCCCCCTGGTGGCCAGCGCCCGTCTCAGCTAAGGGTGGAAGCGTCGCTTAGGCTTTCCAGGCGCAGCTGCATAATCCAGCCTCTGTAAGGAGTTGGTTCTCAACCTTCCTAATGCCGGGACCCTTTAATACAGTTCCTCATGTTGTGGTGACCCCCAACCATAAAATTATTTTCGTTGCTACTTCATAACTAATGTTGCTACTGTTATGAATCGTCATCCTGATATGCAGGATGTATTTTCATTGTTACAAATTGAACATAATGAAAGCATAGTGATTAATCCCAAACACAATATGTGATTATATATGTGTTTTCCGATGGTCTTAGGCGACCCCTGTGAAAGGGTCGTTCGACCCCCAAAGGGGTCGCGACCCACAGGTTGAGAACCGCTGGTATAAGGAGTTGTGTGCTCTCCACCTAGTCTCATCTCCTTGGGTCACCATGTGTTTGACCCCTTAACCCCCTCCTGCCCCCTTCCCCTCAGGTAACCATACTGTTGTCTGTGTCAGGGTTTGTTGTTTTCTGTTTTATAGCCCACATGAGTGAAATCCTACGGTTCTTGTCCCTTTCTGTCTGACTTCCTTCGCTTAGCACGATACTCTCCCGATCCATCCATGTTGCAAGTGGCGCTGTTCCATCCTTCCTTGCCCCTGAGCAGTATTTCATTGTATTTATGTACCACGTCTCCTCTAGCCATCGCCCACCGAAGGACCCGTAGGTGGTTCCATGCCTCGGCTGCCAGTTCGAGTTGCCTGGCCATTCTTGGGTGTTCACCAGGGTCACCACACTCGGCAAAGCAGGGGCTGAACCTTGTTCTGTCGCTGCTTCCACCGGCTGCTTTCAGCTCTTGCAAAGGCGGTTGCACAGTTGAAGGCTGGGGGGAGGATGTGTTACTCTCTTTACTTTCTCAAATGGAAAACTTTCAGTATTTTAAAGTCATATTTGACAGTTGTTTGGAAAAACAACATTGGAAGTTGTTATAACTTAAAACATTCCGAAAATACAGCCAAAAGTTAAACTTATTAACTTTGTAATATCATAGCACGTATTAAGTTCTAGACATTAATGTTTTATTTTCAGTACAGAAAACCCATTGATTTAATTTTAAAAGAATGTCACATTGTGCACTGAAGTAGTGCCTGTTCATTCTGTTATTTCTTAGGGCTTCAAATATAGATCTTGTTATTGTTACACTAAGGTAGACAGGAATTCTGCCCATTTTAGTGATGCAAAAACAGTAAGATGAATACATTAAATCAGTTTTCTAATTATTTAAGCCTCCTTTAAAAGAGAGGTAGTCTGAACCTGTTTAATATAAGAATTGAATATAGTGAGGATAGTACCAAAAATGAAGGTCAGAAAATGATTATTAACAACTAGAGGCCCAGTGCGCAGCCCCTCGGCCTGGCCTGGGCCCTCTCACAATCCAGGACCCCATCAGTGTACAATCGGGCCAGGGAAGAACCAAGGGAGGACTCCAGGGCGTGTCCGGCTAGTCTAGTCCAGTTCCCATTGGCAGGACCCCAGCAGCAAGCTAACCTACTAGTTGGAGCATCTGCCCCCTAGTGGTCAGTGCACATCATAGTAACGGTTGAATGGTCACTTAGGCTTTTATATAGATAGATGTTTTAGAAAAAGAACATTTTGCACGTTCATTTTATGGTATGACTTGTAGTTTATTTCTTTATATTTTGTTCTCAAGTCTTTTTGGGGTGAAGGAGTTGGCTAAAGTTACATATTGGTATTTACAACATTCTCCACTGTTCCTTCTTGTTAATACCACATTTGATGCATTTAAAAATTTTATTTAGGACCTACTATCTGTAGTGCATAGTGGTAGGCTTATGAATTGAGAAGTATTATGTATAAGGGAATGTTAAGTATTGTGATGTCATAGAATATATCACCATAAGAAAAGATTATGTAAATCAGTTGTTTTAGGACGTTTAAAAAAAGTGAGTACCCTTTCCTTCCTATACTTATGTATGTTCTCAGATAATCTGTATACATAATTCCAGGCACATAGTAAGTACTTAGTAAATGTTTTCTAAACAAATGATGAAGGAATTCACAATAATTAAAATAATAAAAAATCTACAATGTGTATGGCCTTTAAAGGATTTATAGGTAATGGATTTTATTCTTTAAAGAAAATTATAAAAAGTTTACATATTGAATAATTTCTTTGTATATGGCTATTATTCCTTTTACTTGGAACCTTAACCTTTTGTTTTTGTATTACAGTGGTTTCTAAGAGAAATGGACAGAAATAACCCACTTTGAGGAAGGCATGGCAAAACCAAATACAAAACACAGAGTTTGTTCTCGGGAATCTTCAGTATCTTCTCTGTTAGCAAGCTGCAGCCTCAGTGGTAGTAATTCCTCTACCGCTGATGGCTCTGTTCAGTATAAGGATAAACTGTACAGTTCTGCATCTCAGGCTCTGCAGGCCTATATTGATGATTTTGATCTAAGCCGGATGTATCCTGGTATAAGCACTGGAAAGATTAACATTGATAAATGTCCTGCTAATATGCCAGAATTCTCCAACTATATTTATAAACCAAACCATGGTATGCTTTTATTGTTTGTTTTCTTTTTGTTCACTGATTTAAATCATTTGAAAGATGTGTTGTAGCCTTTGAAATCCAGATGCTTT